TTAGTCTTAAAGGTGCTACTGGGCTTTTTACTATTTTGCAGCAACAGACCTAACATGGCTAACTCTTCTGGATCTATTGAAGGGAGCAGGGTTCTGTTCCCTTTGAGAGCCAGTGTGATGCAGCAGAAAGTGGGCAGGCTAGTGAGATGACCATTGAAATGTGGATAGAAATGCGATGAGGTAGTGTATAGCGTGAACAATCCATAATAAGACTCACCTGTCCAGCTTAGGCCAATTCGATTTCTTTTTTAATAGCTTGTATTGAATAGAGTGTGATAGATTCTTGTAGTAGCAACGGAGTCCGGGGGGAGGGGACAACAGTGGGTCCGGGGTCATGTACCATCACTAGAAAGGCTCCAGTTGTGTACAGTGACTTTGGGCTTTTCTGTATTCTCCTCTTCACTTGCAAGTTCTTATTTCTTGGGGGGGGGGATCCGTTCTGCATGTGTTTTGCTCCCTCTAGTGGTTGAGTCCACATCATACAGTTTAAATAGTTAGGGAGATATGCCGGACATAAACCTGTGTGATATCGAATCAACCACTAGAGGGAGCAAAACACGTGTGGCGCAGGAAAACCGCCCCGAAAAAACAGGAACTTACAAGTGAGAAGAATGAAAACGGGGAAAGGCCCTTATAGGATCAAGCCGCTCTTCAAATCCTGGTTTATATCCAACCATTTGTTCTTGGGCAAAAGCTGCTTCAAGCAGTCAGGCCACATCTGTGGAGGAAGGGAAGAACAGTGCACATGAGGGCTGGCTGTTGGATCTAATAAGGATGCCGGCGGTAGCTGCCCGAGGACACAGTCCTACATCTGCTGAGTTATTGCTCTTCTTAGCGGACCTGAGGCCGACTCTTCCTGTGTCTGTTTGAAATCGTAGACGGGCAAACTCCGGCATGTGTCCCATTTGAACTTCACTGCCTGGCCAGATCATGACACGCCCTCCCAGCCAGACGATTTGCTCACTTTTATATCCTACATGAGACACATCCACAAATCAGGACCAATCATCACTCACTGCAGCGCAGGCATTGGACGATCGGGGACGCTCATTTGCATTGATGTGGTCTTGGGACTCATCGGCCAAGATCTAGAGGTGAGTTCGGCCAGAGGAATTTCGGGGGGTGTCTCTGTTTATGGGCGTTTTAGCTGGCTTTTTGATACGTGGATCCACGTTTGTCCTGTTTTATTCAAAACGTTTTTTCCCCACACATCCAGTAGATATACCGTAGGCCAGGCTTTTTCTGTTATAGAACAGCCCCCACCCTCAAGGTCTTCCTGTGAGGCTGTAAAATGGAACTTATGGGGCAGTTTGAAAGCTGTGGCTCTAGGCTCTGGCTTATTTTTTAACAAATCTGATAAGCAATTATTTTTGTGTGGCATGTATTGATACCCGCCTTGGGTCCTGACCATGTCAGGAAAAAGGCGGGCTGCATAAATACCCTAAATAAATACTTTTAAAAGATACCAAAGGAGGCAGCGTTTCTTCACTCACGATGCACAAGGGAAGGGCTGTGGCTCAGTGGTAGAGCATCTGCTTGGGAGGCAGAAGATCCCAGGTTCCATGCCCAGCATCTCCAGTTAAAAGGACCAGGCAGGAGGTGATGAGAAAGGCCTCTGCCGGAGACACTGGCGAGCTGCTGCCAGTCTGAGTAGACAATGATGACCTTGATGGACCGAGGGTCTGATCCAGTAGAAGGAAGGCAGCTTCATGCGTAAAAGAGTCGATTGACCAGGGTTACTACTGCAACACCTGCTGATTTTTGTCTCTGCCTCCAAGTCCTTAAAGGAGTGGGATTCTTGTCTGCCCGCTTTAGAAGCAGGCACAGCAGTCCCCGTCTTCCCCTTTTATAATAGGAAATGCGCCTGCTTTCATATATATTTTTCTCTCTCTGAGAACAACACAACAATATCTGCATGTATCTAGCAAATATTTCTCCTAAGGGGCTTCTCTTAAGGTCTTTGTTGGAGCCCAGAGCTACACATTGGAAAGCACACCCAGGGCCAGAACCCCAGCTCTCCACTGAACAGCATGAAAGTGGCAGAATGATGTGGAGACGTGTGCGGCGGAGGAGTGCTTCCCCCTTCCCTCGTGTGCTGCCTTCCTCTACTGTAACCTCTCCTCAGATACTTTTCCTCCATGCTTGTACTATCACGGGGGAAAGAAGGGCATGTTTACAGGGGACAAGTGGCAGATGAGAAAGGGCCAAGCCCCCCCCCCACCTTGCTGCAGTGTTCGGAAAAGACCCAGGACTGCTGCCAAACCTATTGTCCCAGCCTTTCAAAGCTGATGCTCTTTGCACTGGTACGGTGCACTCCGTTCTTTGTAATGCTTCTGTAGGTGCATCTATCACTGGTGTTCTCTGTGTGCTTTCTTCCCCCTAGTTTGACATCTCAGACATAGTGCGCAGCATGCGCCTGCAGAGGCATGGAATGGTGCAGACGGAGGTATGTGTGCCTGGACTGCTGGAGCATGCGGTTCTGCTTCTGATTTTCAAGGTTGCTGTTCTTCATTTCCTAGGAGTGTGGTGATTAAAGAGACTAGGATCTGGGAGACTGGAGTCTGAATCCTCAGTTTGGTGTAGTGGTTAAGTGCGCGGACTCTAATCTGGGAGATCCGGGTTTGATTCCCCACTCCTCCACCTGCACCTGCTGATGTGACCTTGGGTCAGTCACAAGCTCTGGCACAGCTGTTCCTGAAAGAGCAGTTTGTGTCAGAGCTCTCTCAGCCCCGCCCACCTCACAGGGTGTCTGTTGTGGGGAGGGGAAGGGAGAGGAGTTTGTAAGCCGCTCTGAGACTCCAAGTGAAGAGCGGGGTATAAATCCAATCTCTTCTTCTTCTCTGCCATGGAAGTTTGCTGGGAGTGGCCTTGGGCCTGTCACACGCCCTCAGCTTAACCTACCTCACAGGGTTGTTGCAAGGATAAGATGAGGGAGAGGAGAACGATGTAAGCCACGTTGGATTCCCATTCGGGTGAAAGGCAGGGTATAAGTGACAGAAAGAGATGCAGCCATCCGCTAAGCTACGTAAAGGAGTCTTCTGGCACCACCTTCAACCTCTGTTTTCAGAAGTGAAGCCTGTGTGTGTGTAAAGTGCTGTCACTTTGCACCTGATCTGTGGCAGCCCCCTGGGGTTTTCAAGGCAAGAGACATTCAGAGGCGGTTTGCCATTGCCTTCCTCTGCATAGCAACCCTGGACTTCCTTGGGGGTCTCCCATCCAAATAGTAACCAGGGCCGATCCTGCTTAGGGTCAGTTTGTTGTAGTGGTTAGGAGTGCGGACTCTAATCTGGGAGAACCGGGTTTGATTCCCCCACTCCTCCACATGCAGCTGCTAGTGTGACCTTGGGTCAGCCATAAGTTGTTTCAGAGCTGTTCTCTCAAGGGCAGTTCTCAAGAGAGCTCTCTCAGCCCCACCTACTTCACAGGGTGTCTGTTGTGGGGAGAGGAAAGGAGAGGGGGATTGTAAGTCGCTCTGAGACTCCTTTAGGTAGTGCAGGGCAGGGTATAAATCCAATCTCTTCTCCTTAGCTTCTGAGATCTAACAAGATCGAGCTACTTAGGGATGAGGACATTTTAAAACAAGAAACATGTATGCAACATGGTCTATGTGGTCCCGACCACCTGATTTCTTTGCAAACGGGTGTTGTGGGTGGGAATCAGTCTGCACATTGACAGCAACTGTGTGTGATCTGAGCCATCCAGACCTTAATGGGGGGGGCGAGGTAAAGACCAGAGAGGAAGGATGCAATACGAGGCCCCCAGCATAACCCTCAGGTGCTCCCAAAGGATCTGGGATACAAGAGGAGGAGGAAGAGGAGGAGGAGGAGGTGGTGGTGGTGGTGGTGATGGTAATGATTGGATTTATACCCCGCCCTTCACTACCCAAAGGTGTCTCAGAGCGGCTTACAAACTCCTTTCCCTCCCCCTCCCCACAACAGACACCCTGTGAGGTAGGTGGGGCTGAGAGAGCTCTGACAGAAACTGCTCTTTTTCAAGGACAGCTCTTATCAGAACTACAGCTTGCCCAAGGTCGTCCAGCCAGGTACAAGTGGAGGAGTGGGGAATCAAACCCGGTTCTCCCAGATTAGAGTCCGCGCACTTAACCACTACCCTCTGCTTGGCATGCAGGAACAAACTTCACCGAAAAGGGAGGGCTGGTGCCTGCTAGAATAGGCAGCCCTCAGATAAATGGCCCAGGGGTCGGACTCTGTACAAAGCAACGATACCACCTGTGGCTCTTCGGAGCACTGTTCTCCAGTGTGGCCCCTGTCCCATGTTTCAGATGGCAGACAAGGCCCATGCCCAGTGCAGCTTGTGGTTGGCAAATGGTTGCCACCTTGAAACAGGCACAACCAGAGTACCCTGCAGCCTCCTCGAGGTGCAGGTAGCCAGTGTGGCTGTTTGGTCGATGATCATCGAAAACGTTTGAGCCACAGAGACTGTGGCTCAGTGGTAGACGGTGGGAGGGGCTGTGGCTCAGTGGAAGAGCCTCTGCTTGGCATGCAGAAGGCCCCAGGCTCAATCCCCAGCCTCTCCTCTTAAAAGAATCAAGCAGCGGGTGATGTGAAAGACCTCCACCTAAAACCCCGGAGACCCACTGCCAATCTGAGCAGACAGTACTGACCTTGGTGGACCAGTGGTCTGAATGGTACTAGAAGGCAAAAACAAGTGTCGTTAACAGACTCACCAATTACTTGCCAAAAAGTTGAAGAACATGTCATAGAGAATAATGTATACAAAATAGCTACAGTGAAAAAGTACAAAATGTAAACAATAGAGAACTGGTATGTGCTACAAAATATAAACAATGGAGAACTACTAAATAATTGATGTTGTGTCCAGATGTTTCATAACAACGTTTCAAAGTTCATCCTTCATCAGGGTGTTCCCTTTAAGCTTCTGTGGTTTTCATACTCTTACTGACAAGCATTGGGAACAGTAACAATTCAATACAAAATCAGACACTAATCTCCAACATGTAATCAGCTTCAATATTATTTAATAGTTCTCTGTTGTTTATACTTTGTAGTACATACCAGTTCTCTATTGTTTTACATTTTGTACTTTTTCACTGTAGCTACTTTGTATACATTATATTCTATTACATGTTCTTCCACTTTTTGGCAAATTGTAATTGGTGAGTCTGTTAACTATGTAGTACGAATGGGAATGTAAAGATTTTCATATATAGGTTTTTCCTTCTTGATTGTTCATATTCATATATTTCTCTGGTTTCATAGATTTATTCTTTAAGTAATATTTTATTAGGATGTTAGAAAGGCCTGTTATATAGAAGGCTTTCCTCTTGTAGGTCTGATACTGTTAGCAGACAACATAATAGGTACAAAGTTCATGATTCTGTAGTTCTTAGGGCAAACCTTTCAATGTCTGGGTCAGATAAGATTTTAGTCTCGTATGAAGATTCCTTGCCCATTATCATTTAGGTTAGGTTAAATAAACATTTAGTTTGACATAGATATGTTTCTTTATATCTGGCCAATCAGAGGGCTATTACTCAAATTACCACTGTCTTTTGTAACCAATTATGCTGTTTGAATATTGTTTTCTTGATGATGTCAGTCCATGTATAAAATATCATGTATTTCCTGAATATGTTCAGAATATGCTCAAGAAGAAGATGAAGAAAAAGAGGAAAGTTGTCAATTTTTGGTTAACTATTTGGTCTAATTGTTTTCCTATTAATTGAGGCATTTTTCCTGATTATGCTGAGAAGAAAGCAGTCAGTTTTGATGGGTCCTTTGGTTTAACTGTTTTCCATATTTAACATTTGACTTTTAACATTTGACTTTTCATATTTCATTACAATAAAATACAAGAACTTTCTCCTCATTTTACTTCATTTTTGACATGGAATCTAATATGTACAAAAACTACATTTGTTTTTGCCTTCTATTACCATTTTATTATACAATAGTGTAGTGAACATCATTGAATGCTGATATAGCATAAGGCAGCTTCATGTGTTTGTAAAGTGAATACCATTGGTACAAGGCACTGTCCATACACTCACTGTCGGTTTGATACACTGGCACAAAACCAGCAGTGAGCGACCTAAACAAAGTAAGTTCTCCCCTCTCTCTCCATGTCCAAAGGCCTAAGCCCTGCTGAGCGCACATCCCACGCTGATCTTGTGGTCAGCCCGTCAGTGGCACAGATGTGAAGAGCCTGGGGAAGGGGCCATTACAGGCTGAATTTGCTGGCACACATAGACCATGGATCTAGATGAGTGCTGAATTCGTATTCACCTCTCTCCAGAACTGCCATGCAGACATTCCCTGGAGTTTACAGGAACAGAAGAAGGATTTAAACAGCAGAATGGAGGGTGGGGGGTGTTGTATCAGTGGTATGTGTCTTAAACAGCAACTATTAAGTGGAATCTCCTCCGTCCCCAGCCATTATATTCTGTTGTTAAGCAACATTTGTGCTTGCAGACTTACGTACGCTTTCCTTTTTCCCCAGGACCAATATATTTTCTGCTATCAAGTTATCCTCTATGTCCTAAAACGTCTTCAAGTAGAAGAACAGCAGAGAAACAGCTAAATTTGAAATTCACGTATGCTTTAAAAAGGGGTGGTGGGGTTGGACAGAGAAAAAGGAAATTCCTGAATGATTCGGGCACCATCTGCATTGCAGAATCAAACTGGTTGAACATTCATTCTGTCTGCCGCAAGGGATTCCTGTCACAGAATTCTAAGCAAATCACAGTTTGCAGAAATCCTTGGGGGAAGCCATAACAGCTAAACTGGTAAAAAGCTAATATGCATTTGTGGCACAGGTGTGTGCCGTGAGTGCAGTCTTGCCAATATGGTCCTAGTGTCCGTCGGGCATCATGTACCCGTGCACTCCCCCCCCCCAACTTCTGGATGGTCCAAAGCCTTGCACCCCATTGAACAGTCCTGCAGTTTCTGCAGTTTTTTGACACTATGATAAACAGTTGACATTTTTAAACAGCTTTCTATTTTTCCAAGAAGTATTAATGTCTCCTACATGTTTTTTTTCCCCCCTCCTCAGCTATTTTATAGTATATTCTACTGCTGGGGATGAGGGGCGGGGTGGGGGGGAGAGATACAAAACAGTATTTTATCCTGGTGGACTTTCTTACAGGGACATTTGTATTAGTCTATTTTTAAAAGGTTTGTTTATAGCAGAGCTGTCTTTTTCCAGCATTTTTTAAAGGATACAGTAGAGCTTTTTATAGGAAATACTTGAAATCAGTATTTAAGCTTTACATCGTACTAGTATAGGAGAAAGTAGCAAACATTGAACTGTAAGTATCACACGTTATATTGTTTACTTTATAGAGACTTGTGTATATATTTATATACTTTTACAAAAGAAAGTTGAATTAACAGGTGTCTGAGTATGTAACTACTGAGACGCCTCCGCAGTGTAAATAAAAATACACTTAAAATATGAAAAGTGACTCTCTTGTTTTTCTGCCCATTTATATATCCTGTTTTCTTCCTGGTCTCAGGGCCCTTTTTCTTTGCCTTCTGCCATCCCAGACATTTCCAGCTATATCTGAGTTCTGCAACAACTCAGATGTTGTGGTGGAATCAGACGGTTCTTCTTTTTTTGGCATGTGATCATAAGTATAAAAATGATGGCCCATCTCTGCTGTGAACTGGAGCTCCTGTTTCTTCGTAATTCAGAAAAGGTCAGGATGGGATGCAGGAAAGTAGCCTCTCTCTAGAATCTGTGTCATTTTGCTTCTTGGTAAGATGGGTCATGAATTGAAGTTGGGTCAAAACAAGGCACATTCAAACAGGCAAATATAGAAGTAAGCATACATCAGGCACACTGCAGAAAAGAAAAGGACTGTCAGAATGGACAGAAAATGGCTGTCGGTATTTAAGTAGCACCAATTGATGTAATTGACATTGTGAGTCACTCTCGGTCAGTTCAGAAATGCATTGTTTCCAGTAGGTGCCTTGATACAGGACCTGAACACGTGGCTTTGCTTGGGCTCATCCACATTGCCCATGACTTGGAATATGTCCTTGCTTGCATGCAAAATGCCATCAAGTCGCACCTGACTTAGGGTGACCCCAACAAAAGGCTTTCAAGGCAAGCGAGAAACAGGGGGTTTGCCATTGCCTGCCTCTGCAGAGTCTTCCTTGGTGGTCTCCCTTCCAAGTACCAGCCCTGCTTAGCTTCTGAGATCTGACGAGATTGGGCTATTGTTAGCCTGATTGCTCTGGATTAATTATCAATATTGGGGAATTGTGAATTATTATTAATAAGCAATCAGCTAAGGGACCTTTCACCTGTATATACAGAGGGTGCCACTCTTCCAGAAATACCAGTAACAGACAAGGAGACTGAGTTTTAGTTAGAATAATGTCTTTTACTGTAAATCTTCGGCCACATGTCCTAGTCACATGTCCCTTGGGTTTGAGGTGGTTACATGTCCTAGTCACATGACTTGGGGTGGTTTGAGGTGGTCACATGTCTTGGCCCACCTCCTCTGGGGTGTCACATGGGGAGGGCTTGTTTCTCCCTTGACACAACCCCTCTCTGATTAGTTTATGCAGTGGAAGTGAGGGGCTTACAGGTGGGGCAATATTGAGATCTAATTAAGCTTGTGGCAGAGACACCTGATTAGCATGATGATTGAGTCAGCAGCTAGCATTGATTGTCCCCTTTTGTCTTGAGGCTGCAGGACCGGTTCTCCAGGTGGGTAGGTGGGCTGCCGAGCTAATTCCTTTGTTAAGGAAAAACTGAAGTTAATCCTTTGACGAAGTTGTTGGGGGGAGAACATGCCAGGTGAAGGTGAAGTAAGTTCTTTGTTTGAACAGCCAAAGCAAATGGCTGCTGGCCTGGTTCTTTGTGTGTGTACAGGAATACCTCTGGAATGGGGTGACTTGGGATCCATGTTCTCAGGCTCTTGCTGGTGCATATCTGGCATCTCAGTCTGGCCACCAATCATCATAGTCCCTTGGCACACATTAGACATAATTCATAAACAGGGCAAAAAGCTCCTTGCTGGCTAACACTATACCATGCTGCCTTCCCTCCTGGGGATATGACCTTAACACAAGCTATCCCAACCATTAGACAGAGAAGACTGTCACAGCATTCATGCAAATGTACACAGAAGGCTAGACCTTAACAGTAAGAGACTATTAACAGGGCTAGACCTTAACAGCAACAACCTGTCTCTTGTTTATTACATTTTTTGCACCTTGGGGATGAAGTCACAGAATTCCTTTGAAGGAAGTCATGTCATGCTCAGGCACCTGTTGAAACTGGCCAGCTTTGGAACCATTTTTCGTCTTGGAATGCACAGGGCCATCCTCTTTCTTTTCAAAACCCGTGTTGATCTTGCTGCCCAAAACATCCAGCGTATTAACGTGGGGTTCCAGTGCTTTCTCTTCTTCTCTTTTCCCCAAACATTTCTTATACGTCTGATACACTGCATGCAACACAAGCACATATTAGGTGACGAGGGTCCCTCATGGGTGTTTTCCCATAGGACAGGCTCTTGAATAGCTCTTGGAAGCCATCAATGTCTAAAGCAAGCCTAGGACCCACCAAGACAAGCACAGCCCACAGGCTCCATAATTAGACTTGCCAGGGGCTTGGAATACCCTCAGACCAGGGCAGGAGAGGAAACAGATGGCTTAATTTAGCTGCCAGTGGTCTGCTCTGCCTGGATACGAGACAGTATTCAGCTAGGTGGATCACAAGCTCTGCAGCCCTGGTGTGTGTGCACATGCCATCAAGTCACAACCAACTCATGGGGATCCCATGACCATGGAGTTTTCAAGGCTAGAGATGAGAAGGAAGTGTGCCATTTCTTTCCACTGCATAGCAACCCAGGTCTTCCTTGGTGGTCTCCCTTCCAAGTACTGACTATGTTCAACCCTGCTTAGCTTCCAAGCTGGACTTGTTCCTAAGGGTGCATTTACACATCACTTTGAGCAGACATGTGCACAGACCTAGTTTGCTGCCATGCTTGCACACCTTCCTCCCTTCCCAAACCCAGCAGCATGGGGGGAAATAGACTTAAAATGTTTTTTAAACAAATAGAAACAACCTACCAACATACCAGATTTCTAAATGGAAGGCTCGTCCTCACTCTTCTCTTGTTACTCGTGTGCTCCTATTGCTTGGGGTGGGGGGTGTTCTTTTAACGCATATGTTTTCCTCCCTCTAGTGGTAGCTTCAATATTGCATTGCTGTGTCTCCAGCTTATTTCCCTCCACTTTAAATGTGCAGGGAAATGCTCCAGAGATAAAGGTAAAGGTAAAGGTTCCCTTGCTCGAAAGCCAGTCGAATCCGACTCTAGGGTTGCGGTGCTCATCTCCGTTTCAAAGCCGAAGAGCCAGCGCTGTCCGAAGACGTTTCCGTGGTCATGTGGCCGGCATGACTAAACACCAAGGCGCACGGAACGCTGTTACCTTCCCACCGAAGTGGTACCTATTTATCTACTTACAATTTCTTGCTTTCGAACTGCTAGGTTGGCAGGAGCTGGAACTAGAGATGGAAGCTCACACCATCATGCGGCACCCGGGTCTTGAACTGCTGAACTACTGACCTTCCAGAGCCTGCAGTTCAGTGTCTTAACCACTTGAGCCACCGCAGCTCCATGCTCCAGAGATACAGTGATGTAATACTAAAGTGACCACTAGCCAGAGCAAAAAACGTGTAGAAAAGGGGAAAAAACCAAAGCAATACAAGCATGCATGCGACAAAAAGAAGAGTGTGGAAAAGCTCAGAGTTTAGATTAAACTGGAGTTTAATCCAGGTTTAGAATCTCGGAGTGGGAGGGTGGACTGAGTCTTGTATCCCCTGATAAATCTCTGCTGATTGAAGGAATTCCTGTCAGGGAAACAAACTTCCTCACTTTTCTTTTCCAACTGCAGCCCAGAACGGTCCCTGAAAGGTTGCTCCTAGGGAGCCACTCGCATAAGTGGGGGGGGGGGGGGGCGGAGTTGGAGATCTGCAGTGGGGGGAGGAGAACTGGCAAAAACAAACAAAAAACACTCAAACTTTTCCATTAGAAGAAATTTCCTGCCGCATCCAGGTCGATCTCAGGTTCACCCATGCCCAACAGTATTTGAGTGTCATAGGTCAGTTTCCAACCAGTTTTCTGAGCAAGTTGTGTGCACAAGCCCAGGTTTAACATCACCTTTAAGGGATGTCTGAATATAGCCTAAATGTACACTCAAGGAAGAGTATCCGATTCTCCAGGTTTTATAAACCGTGTATTTGTTACATTCCCATTTTAAAAGTGTGTGCTTGAATACGTAATGTGTGAAGAAGCTCTTAGGGATTTAATGACGAAGAACGGCCTGATCTAACCGTGATGCTGGCTGGGGCAGGTGCCCTCTCCCGGGGGAGCGGGGTGTTTCACTTGCAGAGCACCTTCCTTCAACCAGGCAGCTGCCCACGCAAAGCGATCCGGTTTCAAGGAGCTGCCATGCCAGTGGACAGCTCTCCAGGGGACCGTCTTGTTACCTCGCCAACACCACATTTAAATCAGGCCGGAGAGCTCTTAATGTGAAAACCAGAAGGAGAAGAAAAGTGGACTCCAGCAAATGAGTAACAGCTGCTCATCAGTATGCTGAAAATTATCCTCTCTGATCACCCCTGGCTACCTTTGCCCCTAGCCTGTTTTCCCCACCTCCTCCGAACATATGTTTGAATGGAATGACCTACCAGCAGTTATGAGTAATCCATTCAGCAGCTGAAAGGCACCGTAGAACATAGGAAGAGTGATTATCTGGGAGAAACGCTGAGAGCTCAAAGATAACTGGAGCAAAGCAAAGTATAATGCTATGTTCTGCGACCCTGTCTCTGAAGCGATCGTTCGAGACCTGGAAGTACCAACATTTTATGATGCTTTAAAGGCTTATTTCAATAGGCACTGCATTCATGTCCTAGTGCATAAAATTAAACTGAATTCTGGGAAGCAATGGCTCTCTGTGGCTAAAAGGTAAAGGTAAAGGTTCCCTTGCTCGAAAGCCAGTCGAGTCCGACTCTAGGGTTGCGGTGCTCATCTCCGTTTCAAAGCAGAAGAGCCAGCGCTGTCCGAAGACGTTTCCGTGGTCATGTGGCCAACATGACTAAACACCTGTTACCTTCCCACCGAAGTGGTACCTATTTATCTACTTGCAATTTCTTGTTTTCGAACTGCTAGGTTGGCAGGAGCTTGAACTACAGATGGGAGCTCACTCCATCAGGCGGCACCCGGGTCTCGAACTGCTGAACTACTGACCTTCCACAGCTTGCAGTTCAGCGTCTTAACCACTTGAGCCACCGCAGCTCTGTGGCTACTGGCATCTTATTCAGAGGTACCTTGTTTTCTTATATTGTCACAGAAGACAAGGTACAATAGTATTGTCACCTGTTCTGTCAGGTTTAGCCACCTTCTATATTTTCTTAGATGGTGCCACATTCCCCTTGGGATTAAGGAATACCAAGAATTTCTCAAGTACCTTGACCAAGACTGGCAGGTGATAAGGGCCAATAGAAAGCCGCCCATGTAGCCAGTGAATGATAAAACTGCACAAGTCGTCACGATAGAGAGTTCCAGATTCAAAGAATCTTTGGACAATAGTATGTCAGTTATTGATACAGCCACTAGGATAGTAATTCCCGAAATACCTCCAACCTAATGCAAAAGAAAAAGAGAACAAGAAGCAGCAGCAGCAAGGTGGATTTCTTGAATTATTCACAATTACTATAGTTCTTTATTTTGAGAGGCTTTTGTTCCTGGGTCCTCCCAAACCACTCCGGTTGTTGAGTTTTTAACTGACATTTAAAGTCTCCACAAACAGTATCCAATCACACTAGACCAGGGAATCTCTACTCCTCAGAGATTACTTTCCTTGCTTGACTGGGTAGGGATTGTTCTTCTCTCCCTAGATTTATCCCCTTTCCTTTGGCCTGAATGGGAGACTTCTTATGCTGCCCAAACTTCCTTGTCAGATTTCCCCCCAGTTCTCTGTCTGTGTTCAAACTGCTCTCAGCTAATGCTGAATTAAGACTATATTCAGTCATGGATTAAGTCTTTGTCAGCACTAAACCCTTCCCTGTCAGGGCTAGTCAAAAGATGATCTCCGCACACATCTTGTCACAGTTAAGACAGGAATCTGAATCTCTTCTCCTCAGCATCCAGCTCTTACAAAACTTTCTTTGCTCAGTTGATGCCAACCAGATTGCCTGTAGCAGCTTCCCACTCAAGGCTCTCTGGCTCTGTGAAGTATTAAGACTTCACAGTCCTGAAGCCTCTTCAAAAAGTGCAGTCTGTCACAAGGGGGTATAAAAGGGGCTCTCACGCTTATCCAACTTTAATTGTCTGTACCCATATGGAAACATTTACAGTCATTGTCTCAAGTGGCATCTAGCCATTTGTAAAATAAAGTATTACACTGTAAGTTCGCATTTTAAACTTTAAACCACCTTGAACGCATGGGCAGAAAAGTAGTGCATAAATAAAGTTATAAATAAATCTGCAGAATTTGCTTTCCCCCCCCCTTTTGTTTTCCTTTTTTTTGTGCTGTCATTTCTTTGCCCCATTTTAAATAATAGGAACTACCTTTGACATTTACCTTGGCAATGATTTTGGAATGTTTAGGCCATCTATAGTTTGCAAAAATCCCGCAAGCAACTGGTATGAGTAAGCTGAGAAGGCTTGTTCCTAGAAAGATGAAGGGTGGGGGGAGCTTAAGTTACCTGTGAGTCAAATCTGAGTCCACTGTGGTTCATCCCCAGAATCTTGCTTTTCCAATTCAGATCAAAATCAGTTTGGACGAGGCAGCATTTCCAGGGCTTTCGATGTCATCCTTGTTCTTACCTTCTCTCAGCGGTCTCCTCAAGTGGCCATTTTACCTGGTAGCTATGTAACTAGTGTATAAGCGATTTATTGGCACTCTGTAGTTTGTTTGTTTTCCCTTCTCCTTTAGGGTTGCTTTTTTCCTTTTGCGTCATGCCCCATCTCCTCTAGCCTCCCTCCCCTATAAGGCTGTGACATTTTCTGCAAACTTTTCACCATCCGATGGGTTGGACTGGACTGTGTTAAATGTTTTAGGTGTATTTTATATTTCAATTCTGGAATCTTAACTGTAATTTATAAGTTGTATTGGAATTGTATTGTGGTTGTACGCCGCCCTGTTTTTTAGGAGAGGGTGGCCTTAAAGTCTAATTTAATAATAAATAAATAAATAAATAAATGTGTACTATAGCATAGGTCAGTGATCCTCAAGGCGGTGTCCATGAACACATTGGAACCCTCTCTGGTGTGTTTCCTGGCTCAACCACTTGCTTCTTCCCAGAAGTGCTCTTCCCCAAAGTTGGCAGAGAGCCAACCTTGACCTCCCTCTTCTCACTGAAGCAGGAGGTACTTCAGAAGACTCCATAAAGCATAGGGTTGCCAACCCCCAGGTGGTAGCCGGAGATCTCCCACTGTTACAACTGATCTCCAGGAGACAGAGATCAGCTCACCTGGAGAAAATGGCTGCATTGTACCCCTCTGAAGTCCCTCCCCTCCCCAAATCCCACCCGTCTCAGGCTCGACCCCAAAATCTCGAGGTATTTCCCAACCCGGAGCTGGCAACTGTAAGGAATCATCAGGTTTGTGTCTGCAGGGAACTCCATATACAAAATAACTAGCCCCTTCATAGGAGGAAGCTTGGCTTAGACCCTCTAAACATTTTGTGATTTGTGCCCTCCATGGCAGCCATTTTGTAAATGGTCCCACCTTCTGCAGCAGCCATATTTGGTGGTGCACACCACCCCTTCTCAAAATTCCGTAAGTGCCCAGAGGCACAAGAGGATTGGGTAACCCTGAGGTAGACAATATTTTGAAATTGTCAGTCACCTGGATTCAGGTCCTACCAATACCTTGAACTTCTGAAATCGATGGTGATTAACTATACTAGTATTAATGTGTTTTATACATAGAGAGTGAAAGGGAATGTTAAAGAAATCAGATTCCCAAATACTAGACATCCCTCCCACACATACCAGGTTTCATAGAAAGCAAGCAGAAATGATACCTATGGTCTGGTACGGAATTGGGATGCCATCTGCAAGTTCCCAGGAATATGAATAGATGTACAGGCAAAGTGGCATCATTCCCAGGGCAGCTACAGTAGAACAGGCTGTCATAGTGATGCTGGAAATAAGTAACATTAGAGATGATTGGATAAGATTTTTTTGTGTGTGTTCAGGTTGACAATGGAATCACTTGCAATGCACTTCCTGAAGAGCACTAGCTGACCATCTCTTCTACTTTCCCCTTTCATCCCATGAACTGATGAAGTTCCTCCCCAGAAATAGATTTCCCATTGGTAGGAAGTGCCCCAGTCCATCACACTGATGACAGATGCACAACATCTGCTTAACTATGTGTAGCTGAGTTGTGAGATCAGATCAAGAGTCCATTGGATCCAACTATCTGGCCTGATGCCTCTAAGTGTCTGAAAGCCAAAAGGTCGCCCGGACCTGGATAGCCCAAGCAAGCCTGATCCCGTCAGATCTCAGAAACTAAGCAGGGCCCCCAAGGAATACCAGGGCTGGGACACAGAGAAGGAAGGAAGGAAGGAAGGAAGGAAGGAAGGAAGGAAGGAAGGAAGGAAGGAAGGAAGGAAGGAAGGAAGGAAGGAAGGAGCCAAAAGGTAACCATCCTCCCATTCTTTGTCCTCAGAATTCAGAGGGGTTTTCCTATGCAGCTGCAGGAAGCCACCATTTACAGAAAAGTCCCGCCCAGTGGTGAAACTGAGACAAACTGCATTCAACAGGTGTGAAGAAATGCGTATAGGATTTGCCCAATTTCCCCAGAGGTGAAAGCACTGTTACAAGTGTCTGACTAGATTTCATGGCACTTTACTTTTAAAAAATGGGGAATCTTTTATTTATGTGCATCAGTAACAATCCTTCCAATGCTGCAATAACATACGCCTTTCTTGAAGATAGATTCAGGTCTCACACAAGGGCAAACCAGGTGGGTAACTCTATTGGTCTGAAGGAGCAGCGCAACGTTTGAGTCCAGGGGCACCTTTAAGACCAACAAAGTTTAATTCTGGGTATCAGCTTTCATGTGCATGCACACTCCCGAAGAAGTTATCTGAAGAAGATAACTGAAGAAGGTATCTGAAGAAGTGCACACGCTAGGCTTGCCAAGTCCCCCCGGGGGGCGGGGAAACCCCCGCCCCAGAGGCCCGTTCCCCGCCGCCGCCGGATCAGGCCCCAGGGGGGACTCCACCCCGACATGCACGTCACCAGGAAGTGACTTGACCACGCCGGGCACGCTGGGGGCGGGGCCAGCGGGGCCGCGTCACTTCCTGGTAACGTGGATGCGGCACACGCTCCGGGATCAACACGGGAGTCCCCTGCTTCAGGACGAGGTACGACTTGGCAACCCTAGCACATGCACATGAAAACGTATACCCAGAATAAAAACTTTGTTGGTCTTAAAGGTGCCAACTGGACTCAAACTTTGTTCTATCCCTTTCTGTTAGCACACCGTATAATATAACCATGTACAGTTGAATCAATTTTGTAAATCATTCAAGCTCCACACTTCCCCAAATGATGAGAAATTCTAAGACCAGCACTGTTTAATTTCCTTTGGTGGAGAGAACGTTGTAATGTGTGCTTTAGAAATATACAAGCAGAGCAAAAAGGCATCCCTTGAAGGCAGAAAATTCCCCAGACAGCAACTTGGATTACCCCCTTCCCCAAGGCTTCCTCCTTACCTTTGGCTGTCTCCAGATGGAAACTCATCTCTGTCTTCCAGAATGCCAACTGCCTTCTCTCTTTCTCTCTCTCACACACACACTCAAACACCTCTCATCTGCCCCAGAAAACCTAAGAAATAGTCACTGACCACATCACTAATCACACCATTCTTCCTGCCCAATGTATCAAGAGGGTTTTACCTATCCACAGTGGAATAACTAGGATCGCAATGCTGTTCAAAGCCAAATACATACCATCACAAACCACGTCTGGAAAAAAGATGGGAGGACAACAAGGAAAACACTGCACTGCAATGGTCTAACTGTAAATTAATCAGGGTTCTCGATAATAAGTGCTCAGCAGAATCTGATTCAAGACCAAATTAGCAGGTATGGAAGCAGCCAGGTGCTTTATTTAAAACATTTTAATGCTGCTTTTCGGCCTGATCAGGGTCCTCAAGGGGGTAACCATGAAAACGAACAATTTAAAAACATGTGCAATTATAAAATAATTCAATAAAAACACCTAAACATACAGCACCAGAAAGCAGGGAGGAGGCCAGTATGCCAAACAAAGCAAAGAAGTCTTTACTCATTGGTGGAAGACCCTGATAGAGGGAGATAGACAAGCCTCCCTGAGGAGAGAGTTCCACCACTGAGAAAGCCCAGGTAGAGATAGCACAGATCTCCTGTTGTGTCTTGTTTTCACTGGGAGATTTTGGAGAATTGCTGCCAGCCAAGTGGAAAGTACTAGACTAGAAGGGCCAACAATCTTGTCTCAGTCTAAGGCAGCTTCGTAGATTCATTACTGCACCATTTCCTCACCATGTCCTGCGGGATCTCTGGTGCAATTTTGCAGGGCCTGTAAGGCAGAGATGTTCCACCAGGCTTTGGCTGAGGACAGAGAGGGGCTCGATCATGGCTGGCACACACACACACCACCCTCTTTTATTCCATTTATGTCCTTCGGCCTCCTCCCGGTCCTGCCCACAAAGTGGCAACATAGTCCGGAACTGGCTTAAAATTCAATTCAGGGGTGCCATCTGGGGGATTGTTTTTAAGACTGTACTGAATGTTTTATATTGTATTTTATGTACTGTTGTACTTCGCCCAGAGACCTGTGGATGTGGGGATTGGGCGATTCACAAATTTAATAAATAAATAAAATAATCTATAAGGGCCAGTTTGTAACATACTTGCAGCACTAAAAATTGGAAACGAGTTCACAGGCATGCATGCTTAGATTAACCCTTGACTCACTGAGGAAATGACAAGAACAGGGATTACTGAGGAGTTTCTCATTTTCTCCCTCGGAAGAAAGGGCTGGAAGAGAGTTCCAGGCTTCCAGTGGGGAATAGAGAAAGAAGGATCGGAACGTGAGCCCCTCCAAAGGGGATTCAGTTCTGGAAGTTTTTCCTCTCTCCTTCCGGGACTGCAGGACATGCTCCGGGCTTCAGGATCTTTGCTTTACACTCCAGGATCCAGGGCTGTCAACGATCAGCTGGCGTACAGGAAGCCTGCCGGCCTTCTCTGCAAAGTGGCCATGAAGATACTTCGATAGTATGCAACACTGCCAGTGCCAACACATAACAGCCAAATCTACCCAGGCAATAAAATCACATGGTGTAGCTTTTCCTAGAATGTAAGATCACATACTTAAATGCTTCCCTTTGTGATTGTTTTTAAACCCTTGAATGTAGAAAACGACTACCTCAGGGAGCAAGATTCTACTTTGTATTCTGACTGATATGCTCATTTTCTAAGTGCAAGATTTGTGTGTGTGTGTGTGTGTGTGTGTGTATCCAAGCAGGACCATCAGGTGCATTCTGTGATCCCACCTGCCTGTGGAATCGTTGGCTAACTGACTTTAATCCAATAGCTTTGGGCTGTGTTTTGATACAATGATCTGGATCCAACCAGCTTTTCTTCCAGTTAAAATTTTTTAAAGAGGGTCCATTTTAACCACCAAAAGAGCCTGCGATCTGCATGTACAAAGATCATGGGGGACAGGGGCTATAATCAGAAAGGGAACTGGGGAAGTCCAAGCGGACGTGATGGCTGGATCCAACCCTACATCTGTCTGTAGGGACCACAACCTAGAGTGCAGGTGCAATAAGGTGCTATGGGCGTCCTACCTGAGATCCATGTCTCCATCAATCCAGTAGGTGAAAAGATTGGATATTGTTCCTCCAGGACAACAGCCAAGGATAAGGATGGCAACACTTTGGGTTGTGGTTGTGGCAAGGCTAATGGCCAAGATATAGGCCACCAAAGGCATCAGTCCAAATTGGCACGCCATCCCTACAGCGACCCCCCAAGGTCTCTTGATGTTGCCCCACAGCTTCTTCACCTCAACGGTGCAACCCATGGAGAACACCAGCAGAGCCATCACAAGTGTCACCGTCACTGACAGACCCACTTTGTACATGGTGTTTTCTTCCTGTGGCTCGTGCCCGTCGCTTGTTCCATTGGAAGAAGCCAAGGAGTTGTTGACCATCCTCTTTCTCTTCGACTCCTGTCCGTCTCTTCAAGCCTGCTCTGGAACTGAGAGTGTCAGGAATGGCAACAGGCCATCCCATCAGGTTATCTTCACTGGAAATCCTTAATCACTAACGCAACACAGACTCGCAGAATGGAAAGGAATGGCTGTTGCTATGGGTTACCTCAGCAATCTTTACTAATGGGATTAGGCAACAGTGATTTGGGAATGATCATTGGAAGATGTGCATATATGGGAGGGGCTTCTGAAATTTATATTCAATACCAGTTTATTTTTCACTTTTCCCCTCAGTATTTTTTTCAAGTTCCCTGAAACTACAAAAAACACAATAATAGAAGAAGAAAAGGAGGAGGAGGAAGAGGAGATTGAATTTATACCCCACCCTTCACTTGGAGTCTCAGAGCAGTTTACAAACTCCTTGCCCTTCCCTTGCCCACAACAGACACCCTGTGAGGTAGGTGGGGCTGAGAGAGCGCTGAGAGAACTGTCCTTGAGAGAACAGCTCTGACAGAACTATGGCTTGCCCAAGGTCATCCAGCAACTGCAAGTGGAGGTGTGGGGAATCAAACCTGGTTTGCCCAGATTAGAGTCCGCGCACTTAACCACTACACCAAACTATGCAATCTTTTTTAAAGCACGACCCAGCTAATGAGGGGATGATGATGGTACTGAGGATATAAACCCTGAAGTATTAAGAAAGGAGGACTTAATTTAATTCAATTTATTCTATTTTATTAGAACTGTGATTTAATTATTGCTACTGTATTGTCATGTCCTGAGCCACATTCTGGGCATCTAATATAAACAAACCCCAAATGGGGATCCCATGGCATCCCAATGTCACAATAAATGCATAGTTTCACCCCAAGTGAGCTCTCCACCTGTGAATCCAGTCCTGCATTCTTATTCACAAGCTGCTACTTTAAAAATTGCATGAAGGAGAGCCAATCGTTCTGTACGCTTTGATTTCACCACTTCTGGCCATTTTTAATGGTCAGCTTCCAGATTTTTCCACCACAGGGAACCTTGTGTCTCATTAAAAAGATAAAACCTTCCTGCAAAATGTCTGGGCAGATGGTGCAGGGGGAGGGAGTGATGAAGTGGCATATAATTCATTGTCGAGTGCACAGATCACAGGAGCATGCAACTGCAGTGTTGTTATTTACCCATTCATAAAGTTTTTATAGTTTGTTTACATTTTGGGGCATTCTATCTATATTGGCTCAAACAGTTGTTTAAGGAGGGGAGGGAGGGAAATCAATCCTTCCACCTAAGTCTCTTCTAAACATTTGCCAATTTGATGGTTTTGTAAATGGGGTCAGCAAATGCAGTGGCAGAAACTAGACTGGGGGGAGGGGAGGGGAGGGGGCCGTCTGTACAGGTGCAAGAGGTGCATTTCCACACTTGTATGCTTCCCATTGCAAAAATTCCACATTGGAACAGAAAGGGCTTCCAGAGATAGCAAAAGGTGGTCAGCCATCAGTTCAGCTCCTACTCCAGATGGTGCTTTTGGAGGGAGGAATGTTGTTTTTGTAGACATATAATGCCTAATGCTGCTTGTTGTGCTGCGCTGGAAACTCAAATTGCTACAGAGGAGGATCAAAGGCAGTGTTGGCCAAAGGCCCTTCGTAATTTGTTTTCCAGCTCTATATTTAATTGTTACAATGACATGGCAGGTCCACATGACAGTACCATCGCTACAGAAATTCCCCCATCTGCCCATGGATGTAGTGAATGCCAGGCCCAGCCAGAACATTGTTCATGGGAGGTCATGATTCATACCACAATGAACCAGTGCAGAGCATCCTGGAGACACTTAGCGGCAGAGGTCTTCTGGCCAAAAATAGCCCACTTTTCAGTTCAGGTTCTACCTGCCGCGCAAGCTTGCTTTGAAAGTCGATGTTCTCCAGTCTTTGGCGTTCCAAAATCCTTTCATTCTGTAATGCTGTGAGGCAGAAATATTATATTGGAATATTAATAGAAGAGAAAAGGAGGAGGAGATTGGATTTATACCCCGCCCTTCACTCAGAGTCTCAGAGTGGCTTACATAGGGTTGCCAAGTCGTTCTTCACTCACCGGCGGGGGAGCGTTCTCTCTGTCCGGGAGCTGCCGAGGTATGTGCGCGTGCATGCGCTTTGCACACGCGCACCGCCAGAATGTCACAGGAAGTGACGCATGACGTAGAGCACATTGGGGGCGTGGCCCCAATCGTTGGAGGGAAAACCATAGAGACTTCCTGTGATGCACCCACGCTGCGCTTTGGGGGACGAGGTTCCCCCCGGGGCCCGATTCCGCAGCGTCAGAAATCCGGCCTCCAAAGTGGGGGTTTACCTGCCACCCGCCCCCACTTGGCAGCCCTAGGCTTACAATTGCCTTCCCTTCCTCTCCCCACAACAGACATCCTGTGAGGTAAGCAGGGCTGAGAGAGCTCCTTCCAGAACTGTCCTTGAGAGAACAGCTCTGACAGAACTGTGGCTTGCCCAAGGTCATCCAGCAGCTGCAAGTGGAGGAGTGGGGAATCAAACCTGGTTCTCCCAGATTAGAGTCCGCACACTTAATCACTACACCAAACTATTCAGCACAGAGGTAACGATACATCAGTATCGTTAGGGGGCACCCTGTTCTCCAGATTATAGTATATAAAAAAGATTATGGAATATGGTTAACCTTCCTTATGATTTTAATATTTTTATCAATGCCTTGCTTTGTCATTGGTTTAGGGTATACTAGAATATTGCAGGTAGCAAGCGCATATGGCATTGTACGAGCAGTAAAAATTGGCGGAAAGAGAGCACATTAGTTGGACAACTAATTCAGCTCCTGTTCCAGATGATATACTCTGCCCTCCACCCCATGGGAGGCCATGTACTTACTCTCTAGTGAGGGGACCCAAACTTTCCAAATAGTTGTCACTGGTCGCAGTTTGAAAGGACAACCATAGCATATGTCATCATGGAGAGGGTTGCGTTTTTGTTCCTGGGATGCTCTTAGCAAATCTCTTGTAATCGAAGCAAATTCTACACGGTCATGCCTGAAATTTCAACATCATCGTCAGTAAAAAGTTAACAATGATGATCCAAGAACTACACAGAAAAGGTTAATCATATGAAAACACATGTTGATGTTTTCTGCCACTAGAGGGCAGAATTAACTAATTTCAAAATTAATTCTCCCATCTGTAAACTCCTTTATTATCTGTATGCTAATTTGCTGCTATTCGCAGGTTTTACCTACTGCATTTATCCAATCTTAGCAATATTTATTGTCCAGTGACTTATCGCTCAGTTATTTATGCATCTTAACTCTAACTAGCCCTTCCTGGTGGCAACTAACTGCCCCCCCCACCTATATGTAAAGGTTGTGGAAGTCTTTTTCAATGTATTTGAAGAAGTGTGCATGCACACGGAAGCTTATACCCAGAATTAAACTTTGTTGGTCTTGAAGGTGCCACTGGACTCACTTTGTTCTGTGGCAGCAGAAATAAGGCCACAGTTTCTTGCATGAAGAGTACAGGCATCCAGCACAATAGCAGAAGGCAGATTCACTGGGTAGCATGGGGAAAATTTTAGTAGGGCCATGGGGCACACAATCTAGACAAAGGTGAGCCATTTTAAGGTCTCTGGGATGTCTTTAAAACAAAAGTCCATTGGCACCTTAAAGACTAATGACTAGGAACTCATTAGCATAATAGGCCACACCCAACAGCAGAAACCATTAGCATATTAGGCCACACCCCTGACAGCACAGCCCATTAGCATATTAGGCCACACCCCCATGTTACCAGAAGTGTGCTCATCCAGCCACACCCACCTTTTGCTTCTTATTCTGTTTACCTTGTTTGTTGTCAAAACCCAGGGC